CTACCGTAAAGTGCTCGACTTCGCGTGCAGGTCGTCGGGCTACCGAAGCGGGGGTGCCATCCCCTCCGCAGAGGATCAAAATTCTGATGGCATGTCTTCGGATCATCCTCAGGGATGTTTCCCAGACCGTCGCCAATAGCCCATTGTGCAGCTCTAGTGCGACGGAAATGAACAATGTAGAATCTTACAGTGCGTCTAATAATTTAGCTTGAGACTGTAGTTTCAGTAAAATAAATGCTTGACTAATACTTCTTTCTATTGCTTAAACCCGCATTTCGATAATCAAAATAACTTTTCTAAAACTCTTCTGTAATAAATTGTATTAGAATGACGTCATAAACCAACTTTTTGACAAATTTGCTGTAAACGTGGTTTTGACGCATTTTTTTACTGAAATTTTCCTGGTTAGAGAATAGGTCATTTTAGACTCATGAAAATGGACCTAAATATTTGGGTCGAAAGCTAAGAGCAACTATGAATTATGGTCAAAAATTCCTATCCGAATAATTGGAAGAAATTGAAATGAAATGAAGCGCGTAGTTGAGAATAAAACAAAAATTCTGAATAATATTGACCATCCAGTAAATCCTATGAATAATACTTTAAATTGAACATCCACAAAAATAACTCTAAAATATTACTTAACAGGTTTAATAATAACTTTTCTCAAAGTTTATTCGTTGTGAAGCTCTTGTGCGACGTAAATGAACAAATCAAATCATTGTTTTATTTAAACGTTGAAATCTAAGTTAATTTGAAAGGAAAATGCATAACGTAAATAACAGCATTTTAAAAAGGAGACAATATGTTTACTTACCTTTACTTCTTTCGAAATACCATTTGAGACGATTTTCTTCGTCCATACATTTTTAAGCCCTAATAACACTGAAGATTTTAAGTTGAGTCGTCCACATTTATTGATTGGTACATTTGTGTGCTCAATTAAGGCTTATAAACCTTGGACAAGTAGAAGGACAGCACGAAGATACAGCGTTTGGCGGGTTGTACCCATCTGCCCCTTGTCTTTCCTATTCCTTGATAGACATGTGTGCTCAATCACAGTCATCTTTTTTTCTTCGTTTTTTTAAAAAAAAAAAACCTTTAAAGCCGTCGTTGAACAGCCAATTTTTTGGGTTTACAACTACTAATGTTCAACTCCTTTGCCTTGTAATTTTGAACCTAATCCAGAAGACAAGGTGACTCCTGGATCAAATATTGGGAGAAATTGCCTTCGCGGAGAAGTTTTTGATGAAACTAATCCGCATTTGATTTACATGAAGAGAATGAGCATGAGAACCTCCCAGCCCACTGTACCTCTTCTTTGGTAGCCCACTAAGTCAAGCACTTTGCGGTAGAACAGTTTAATGAGGTCCGAAATCCCGCACTCTCGGTCTCTTTGCAGGCTGACGCGCTTTCTGACCACTGCAAGTGATGCATGACTCCGGTGATCTACTAGGAACCGTATTTAACATTTAATGAGCAGTGGGAACCATTTGCAATTTAATTTTCTTTTGATAATTGACATATTTATTGTATACAATTGCGTTTATTTTTCTTTTCAGGTGGATCATGAGACTTCCAACCGTGTCCGTTGGAGACTACGGTAAAGAACTCGAGTCTGTCTCCTCCAAATACAAAACTCTCGAGGAAGAACCTGAAAAATCATAATAAAATACAATTCCACTGTTACTACGAGCCACTCCGAGGATTTTTTTAAATTTGAACATTGCCAAGTGCGTAGTTGATGTGGCTCCAGAATGGAGAGAGTAAAAAAACAGGTTTTAATTACTATACTGTAAAATGTTCGATATAACGAGTACTGCAAATTACGAGAAGTCTGCTACCCGCCAAAATAATCAAAAGCATTGGTACGAAAAAGAAACTTACATGGAACAAAGAATATAGAGGGCGCTCCCCTCAGTATTCTTTGCATGGAAGACCAGAGAATTTCCTGTCTACAATTTTTAAAACAAACGCTCTATTTCTAAACCAAACACTAGAAAGTAATGAGAAAAAAAAAAGGTTTTAATTACCATACTGTAAAATGTTCGATATCGATGTAACGAGTACTTTAAAATATGAGAAGTTTACTACCGCCAAAATATTAAGAAGTATAACTAGCTAGACATTCGTATGAAAAATAAACCTACATGGAACAAAGAATACAGAGGGCGCTTCGCTCTATATTCTTTGCATGGAAGACCAGAGAATTTCCTGTCTACGATTTCTAAAACAAACGTTCCAAAAAGATACGTTAAAAGAAGTAATAACCAGCAGCGTTTTGACGTGAAGAGGAGAATTATTATTGTTACTACTTATTAAGTCTTTTCCCTCCCTTCTCACCAGTTTACTATTGAAATAACATTTAATTCCGCCATTTTGAACATTGTATTTGTTTATAACGACACTAATATGAAGACAAACTGTATTTCCTGACGCTGTATCCAGTTATGTTCATAGATAGTACTAGAATGGATACCATTCCACACTATTAGTCTGTGACTGTTGTGCTTCGAGATTACTTTGAAAAATCAGGAATGAGTATATTTGATTTTGTCTGGCATAACAATCACACAAAACAAAAATTTGTATAACAGAAGTCTTTATGTTAGAAATATTTTAACGCAAAATGGAGCCCTTATTTATTATTTTTACTCTTGTTACCCTACAGAAATAAAAATAAATTGAGTTAAGAGTACAATTAAATGATATAAGGTAGAAAGACCATTTTTGTCATTTCATACATTTTAAATGCATATCTTAGTCCAAGGCTCCGAGAACACTTCTCCATGAATTGCAAAGAAGGGGGCACGGAAGAGAAATTAAAATAATGCATTGCAATTTCTCGTTATTAAATACATATGATATTGCATAATTACTACTCTTAATATATATATATTTAGAATCTTGCAAAACAAAGTTTTAAAAAAGCGTATACATTAGGAATTACAGATTAATGTCCAAGCAATAAAAGAAGACTAATAGTTTCAAAATCTAGAGAATCACAACTGAAAACATCAAAACCAGTTTGATTGCCTGACATAACAAACTGAAGCTTAATTCTAAGTATTACAACTTATTTCTACTTTTTAATTTATCGTGATGAAATTTCGTGGTGTTTATAATAATCACAGTTCGCATTCTTTCTATTTCCTCTGGCAATCAAACTGGTTTTAATATTTTCAGTCCTGCCTTCCTGAGTAGCGATTCATTGTATTTTGATAGCGTTTATACTATTACTTAACACGTTACATATGTATATTTTCATATTCTTCTTCGTTTATTGATGATATTAATAAAAATTTCATAATACATTAATGTTTCTGTGTATTTATTTTAGAGCCCTGAAAAAGGGCTGAGTGCTTGACCATGGTTGGATGATGTGTGTCCCTGTGTAGTAGCTATTTTTTTCCCCTTACCGTGGAAAAACAAACTATTCCAGCCATTAGAGTAGTTAAAACTATTTATGGAAAGGAAAAATTGCAACACTTTACGTTTTATATTTAAAGTAAATGGTTTTTTGAACTAAAAAATGAGTATACGACAGATTTTTTTTTAAAAAAAGGAAAATAAAACGATTGTTTTGTGATGCTTTATAGTATATTGGAAGATCTTTACGTCATTGTCTCGATTTAATTAAACTAACTTTATTCAGAAGCTTAATTTTTTTNAACTGCAGTTTTGTGATGCTTTATAGTATATTGGAAGATCTTTACGTCATTGTCTCGATTTAATTAAACTCACTTTATTCAAAAGCTTAATTTTTTTGAGCCAGATTTTTCAACAAAAAATAAGCCCCTTTCAGCACTCAAAAAATATTTTCAATCACTTCCTAAAAAAAAAAAAAAAAAATCATAATTAGGATCTGTGTAGTAATAAAAATTATTTTTTTCTATCGTTAAAAGTTCTTAATTTATGAGCATAAAATCAATAAAATTCCAAAACATTTTTAGCCATGATAAAATAACTAGTTTCTGATAAATATTGCAGAGAAAATTGTGAAAAGTACGAATTTTTTTGTAATTTATGACGACAATCGACACGGAGAAGACAAAAATCTCCCTTTAAAAGATATAAAATTGAGCACTTTTTACAAACCCCGAATTAAAAAAAAGCTTCTTAAAGGGCTTTTAAAAAACGTAAATCACAAACAAGCACCTTTTTAAAAACGCTATGCAACATACAATTAAATGAAATTTATATAGAAGGGACGAATTAACAGCGAATATAATTTTCATAATAAATTAAAAGCTCATAAATAAAAAGTTATCTATTTTTCAAAAGGGCAGTGAGAGAAACCAAAAAGAGGTTTCGAAATTAAAAATTTTAATAGCCAAGTAAAATGATAGTACCTAGGTAGGCTATTGGCGACAATCAGGGAACATCTCCCTGACGATGATCCGAAGACATGCTGTCGCAATTTGGCTCCTCTGCTTTGGTAGCCCGGCCAACTACGCGTGAAGTAAAGCACTTCACGGTAGGTTAACGGGGACCGATACCGCGACTCTCGGTCCCTTCGCAGGCTGATCAGAGTGGTCACCCACCCGCTTACTGACCTCAGCCAGTGATGTTCGACTTCGGTATTCTATTGGGAACTGTGTCTTTATAATCAGTCCACTGCGGGACTGAATCTAAGTTAAATAATTACAACAAACGTCACTGTTGAATACAGGGTGACAAGGGTAGATTTTGAAATACAGTTTGTATGTATGACTTTGAAGCTGTTATTGAGTATTGGAACAATTTAAATCATCCATTGCAATGCATTAGATTGAAAGTGAACACATTTTCGGCACAGACAACTAAAATTTTTATAAAAGTAAACTATTTGAATAAGATGCCATTATAATACGAAACTTTCACTAAATTGAGAGAATAGGGAAATTTGCAAAAGCAGCTATGCTTGATTACAGAACTCATTTTGTAAAAAAATTATTTTTTAGCAATCAATGCATATAGATAAAAGCAGTATAAATTTTTGCGTGTGCCTTATTCCAACATTTTTAATTTCGATGTTGTCCATAGCCACTCATGCTTGACATCTACTGGGTCTTTACGATCAGTCTACATAATGAAATAACCATTAAAATGAAGCAGGGAACATTCAAAATATAAGCTATTTATTGGTAGACAATATTTTAATTTGTGAATTTAATTACAATACACACTTCTCCTATTCAAAAAAATTGAATTTCAATACATTGATATATCATTCCACACAATAGAATAAATGGATCAGTTTACACAAGAATACAAATTGAATTGTTATTTACATTACAGAGGTATGGAATGGGCGTGCTTTTTTTCCAGAATGTTCTCGAGACTAGTTTTTTTTTTATTAAGATATCCACAGTGGAATTTTTCGTAGATTGGCAAATTATACAGGAGTGTAAATATATAAAAATCATCCTATAATGTGCAATACCTTAACAATTATTATTACACTATTTACACATTTAAAGCTTCATCTCCAGTAAAGTGGCAAACATATAAAGAAAAATACATTTATAATTTGTCTAAGGTAAGAACTCCCCCCCGCTACAAAGTCTGAGGCCGTCTGGCTACTATGGAAACAAGAGTAGCTTCTTTTCACACCGGAAAAAAAGATTACCCTTCTCTCGTCCACCCGAGCCAAAATCTGTCCTAAACTGCGACCCCACACCCCTACTTGAAATAGTTATACCTCGTAACCGCAACGGGTCCAGACGAATGGCTAGGAGAGTTCTTACATTAGACAAACTACAAATAGATTGCAAAAAGTAAATACACTGAATGAATATGTAGCATTCATATTTAATGCAGATTCCCCAAATAAAGAATAAACAAGATGCCAATAAAGGCACTGTTTAACCATTCTTTCACGAAATATTTTAATTTTATTATAATAAAGTGTTATTTTATGAACTAGAGTAGTAAATCTTCATTCAAGAATAAAAGTTAAAAAATTGATTTATTGTATTTTTCAATACTTCAGCACAACTAGTTAAGTTATAACTAGGTATTCATTTTATTTTTTTTAAAATTTCAAAAAGTTTGCCACTTTGAAATTTTAAAATTAATAACGTTTATTCTAATTTAAATTTTTTTGACAAAATATAAATTAAAATTTTCAAACAATTAAAAAAAAATCAATCACATCAGGTATTTTTTTTACCCACACATTTAAATTTGTTATGGCATCAGTTGCCTGAATGTAAACAATGACATACTTCCTAAAACCGGAAGGAATTCAGAAAACTTCCGGTGTATCCTTCCGCTGATGAGGTGATGTGTGAACAGGCTTGGTATTCAAAAAAGTTTTATGATTGTGTTTAAATTTACGCGTAATTTTACCATTCATTAGAGTTTTCCGTAATGCATAAATTCTAACAATTTGCGAGTCTAACACAAATTTAAGAAAATTAATATCTCAACATAAATTTAATGCAAGGTTTACCCTGTTTTGAAAGATATCGCTTATTTGGCTATCAGTCAGATCTCTATTTAACGAAGTCTCTAAGCCTCGATAATAAGTTAGATTCGTTAAATAGAAAAATCACCTTTTGAAATACTTAAACAACACAAAACAGATTTTAAATTCATGAACACTAGACATAATTAAAATAGCAATTGATACATACCTTTATCTTGTAAACTAGTATCTATTATTTATTTTTTAAATCTTAACCATAAAAGAAATCTGCATGGTAAGCAAGAATAGAGCAAAACATCTAATACATGCTACATACATTTTCAACTAAAAAACCTGAATTTATGTATAAAATTAAAGCAGCATTATTACAATTAAAGTAGCATTTATTATAAAAGTAATTTTAAACATACATTACCACATGCGTTCTTAAGTTTAATTACTACTGATAAAATCTGTTAATTAGTCAGAGTTTTTCGTTTGAAATACAAACAAAGGGGGAAAGGGATTTTACTGCTTTCTCTAAAATTTAAGTGGCTATGAAAAACAATTCAAGGTCATTTCCCCCATAAAATGCGTTAACAAGTTTAAAATGTTTTGGGAAAAAGTGAATCTCAAAGAAAAGTTCGGTAAATAGAAGATTCACTTAGCTATTTGGAAGTT